TCCGGAGAGTTTCGCCCGTCCGGCACAGTTTTATTATAAAATTGTAAAGAAAGTTTTTGTGTGAATATAATTTATCGTTTTACGTAAATAATTTCGAGTAATATATATTGAAATAATTGTGATTTTCACGCTGCAGACATTCGCTTGGTATTGGTATGTTTTTTTTTTGTTATCAAAATACAACAAAATCTTTTTGTAATGAAATAAACAACTTTGTTTAGACCATGGGATAGAGAATTTTGTATAGAATTTATAATGCCAAACTTGTTCATAACTAGAGGAGCAAACCACATTACCGCGCGTCGAAAAAAGTGTAACCACTATCCAATCGCGACGACATATTTTAAACGTATACGTATTTTAAATAAACATATATGTGTCACTTACACAAGTTGCGTCGCTAAGATTAGATAAAGATAGACACACCAAACATGCAATGGCGGGTTGGTGTGGCTTACTATATGAAATTTAACCCAAAATACGCAATAAAAACAAATACTATAGAAAACCTACGGTATATGGTACGTTATACTATACTGTAAGGTTTTATAAAGTATTTGATAGAAAGGAGTTTTTTATAAGCTGCAGTTAATTGTTTTATGGAAATAAAGTCTGGGGGCACGGCAGTGCCCCCGCCAAGTCGAGCAAAATAGCGGCACCCCCGTACCATACTTTTCCCGAAGCAATTCGGGTCAATTTAGACCCCCTATAACTTCGTAGTGGATAAAACTAGAAGCCTGAATTTTCAGTAACCTAGTTGGCAATGTATAAACATGGTATATTTCAAATTTCATTCAATTTGAACCAGTAGTTTAAGAACTATAACTAGTCAAAGTTTCTTAATTTTGTCACTCACTGACTGACGATCATCAAAACTCTAAGGCACTTCTAGCAGACATAGAAGCTTCAAATTCAGAACACAATTAGTGTTTAGTGTATAAATCATGGAAAAACTAAAATATATTTAATTTCGGTTGTTTTCTAGATACACCAACTGCATAAGTAACTTTGTAATTCCATATAAATATATGAAATTACAAAGTTACATTTGCAGCGAATGAATCAGTGTATTTGTATATGTATAATAGGTTAGATAGGTACGTTGTTGTTATTGAAGAAGTAGAAGGTACCGGAAAGGAAAAAGTAGTACTATCTTATCTACACAAAGAAATGAGATGCCATCAAAACATAACTTGTAAAAAAAAACCAAGTCTCGCAACTCAGTTCTCCTAGCTTAAAAAGTTGTGAGATCCATGTAATACCAAGTCGGTTAATTTATTCAGTCCCTACTTAAGGGTCCTTCTGTTTTAAGTTATTACATAATTAGCTAACCTAACAACATTTTATAGTGATCATATCAATGTTAAAAATGTTTTAAATATATAGATTGACTTGGTAATCGCAATAAGCAATCTAATTTAATATAATATGTATTACTTGTGAATTACATTGTGTTTTCATGCGATGGCCAAGTCAATCTATTTATTTGAAACGTAAAAGATTTTTAACATTGACATGGTCACTGTACCCTTATGTAGGGACTGAATAAATTAACCGACTTGGTATTACATGGATCTCACAACTTTTACGGTAGAACTGAGTTGCGAGACTTGGTTTTTTTACAATTATGTTTTTGATGGCATTTTCTTATCAGGTGAATAGAAGTTAGCATAACTGATGAAATAAAATATATATTTATAAGTATTTTATTGTACTCATAAATCAAACAGTATAAAATAGGTAATAAATATAATTAATATAAAATTTATATAAAAATAAAATTATAATCAATATAAAAGTATTAATATAAAATATATTTAATAGATCATTCATGAATAAACCAAAATAAGGATAATTAATTGTTTTATGTGAAAGTTAAAACGTAGTTTTTATTATAATTTTCAAAATATTTAAAATCTGAATTAACAAATTAACTTACTTCTAATAATTATATATTCTCCCGTTAATGTGAGATAATCACAAAGGAGGAAAAGTGGCAACATTTAACTTAATTTGCAGTATTCTATAATTTTATTCAATAATTTTAGATTTTTACGTTTATATGAAAACATAAACTAAAACTTGTGTGGAAAGTGATTCCGCATGATTTATTATGTTTTATGACCTTGAATCGCATTCTTTCACTACGCATTTATCTATTTTTTGTCGCGGATCGTTCGGCTCAACTCTGTCAGCGACACATTGAACACTGAATTGACCAAAGACTACAATATTATATGGAACTGACGTTAGCTAGGCATATTGCTGTGGCCATGTGCAGTGGTAACGCTTTGGCACGGTAATTACTAATCTAGTGTAATATATAAATCAATGTTTTAAGTGATGTGGGTGGGTGCGATCGCATGCGACCGCTCCGGATTGGCCGGGCGCATGCGACTGAAAGGGATTTTTATGGGGATTGAAAAATATAACTTACAAACGCGTTAAGAAAAATATAACTTACAAACAGTAACTGTCTCACCATTGTGATTTGCGCTGCTAGAAACATTCCTATAAAATTAATTATATTTGTGGTTTTGCTTAGAAAATCCATTTGTGTAATAGTTTGGTGTCTTTTGCTAATATTACAAAGATAAGTTATCCAAAAGAATTAGTTTCAACTGATTATTTTAGTAAAGTATGTCTACATTTTTATTGAATCAGAGGTGAGTAGAAACGACTGAGGGTTAAATAGAAATCTAGTATGGGGTGAATGGAAACTAGGAAGGGATGAATAAAGACGAGTAAGGGTTAATTGAGATGAGAAAGGAGTTTATAGAAACATAATTGTTAGAGGTGGCACTTTATATTAGATAGATAATATATTTGTAATCATGTTTTTGTTTTTACACAGGCAATCTACGATGCCAAAATCAACACGCCACGAGTTTATAAACCGGATCCTCGCGGTGGGAGATATAAAAAATACGATACCAACATAATACTGCTGTAGATGAATATTCTGAAAGCGGCAGTTCACTAAATACAATAGCAAAAAAATATAAAATACACCGATCGGTTTTGTATAGAGATAGCCATAAAACGATGAAAACTCACGGAGGTCCAACTGTCTTGTCGAAAGATACGGAGCAGGAATGTATAAAATATAATATGACTTGGGTCATAATTTCTGTCAAAACTTTTTATAAAATTAATGATACACTTTTTAATAATTATATCGAAATAATATATGAAATGAAAGCTAATTTAATTAAGAATACAATTTTATTTACATTATTCAAAACGACCTCCCTTATTTTGAATACATGCCCTTAATCGACGCGGCCAATCGTCAATCGCAGCACGCGCCATACTCCGCCGCTGCTTTAGCCAAAGATGCTCGGAGAGATTTCAAATTTTGATGAGGTTTAGCGCAGACTTTCTACTCCAAATATTGCCATAACTTATAGTCCAGTTTACTTAAATCTGGACTAGAAGATGGCCAGTCTTCATGTCTGATAAACTCAATTTCATTGGCAGTCAACCAGTTTTGCGTACTTCGTGCCCTATGAGCTGGTGCAGAGTCCTGTTTGAATATCCAATGTCTGTTTTTGAACATTGTTTGAGAAAGAGGTTCCACTATTTTTGGACACGGTTACCTTTTTCACAGAAAAACACCTCAGTTGAGCCTGGATATGAGACTCCAAACCAAACCATGAGTGACGAAGAATAATGTGCTCGTTGAACCCTCGGAATACGCGTGCTGGCATTTTCACTGATGTAGGCATACACCTTATCATTTTGTTTATTATAACTTTCTTCGATGTTAAAAAATTTCATCCGAAAACAAAATTTCTCGATATTTTTTTCCCGCGTACCGCCGTAACAAAGCACGGGGTCTATCCAGACTAATTTTTTTCAAACGCTCGTTCAAAAAATGTTCAGGCTTCTTGCGATAAGCTCGTAGTCCTAGGTCTTCATTGATCACTCTTTTGACCGTGGCTACTTAGGCCCATCTGAAGAGCTAAGATTTTTTGTTTACGAACAGGATGTCGTTGTTTTGCGCCTTCACTGCTATGATGATCAAGGGTGTCCTAATTGTACGAGCTCGGCCGGTCCTCTTACGATATTCGAAAATTGAATCTTCAGTTAATCGTTTGATAGTGCGATACACAAATCAAAGGGTTATTTTCAAATTTTGTAGAATATTGAAAATCTTTCTTGGCGCGTAACCAATCGGTGCAACGCGATAACCGCTATTCTATCTTCTTTCTTCGACCACTCCATATTTGAAAATGAATTAAACTTAATGTCTTTTTTAATTTCGGCAAGCGCAAACGTTATATTTTTGAAATTGGTGAATTTCATCTAGCCAGTATTCAAAAATTTTAAATAATAAGGTTTTGACAAAACTACTAGAAGCGTATGATTTACAATTACTTGAACTAGGTATATCTTTATTTATTGATGTATGTAGTGACAGATAATGAAAAACGATTCAAAAATAACATGCCTGGACTAGATTTCGTTGCTGGTTTTTCAAAAAGGCGTAAAGACGTTATTTCTCACAGGATATTTCAAAATATCAAAAAAAATCGAGCCGCAGTTTCAGAAGAAAACGTAAAAATATTTTGAGAAATTAAACTTATCAATAAATGATGTATCTATGTGTAACGTAATAAACTACGATGAGACTAATCTAGCCGATAATCCGGGACGGAAAAAATTATAACCAAAAAAGCACTAAGTATCCGGAGCGGGTCATGAATCATTCAAAATTTGCCATTTCAGTTATGTTCTCTTGTACTGCTGAAGGAGATTTATTGCCCCCCCTACATAGTGTACAAATTGCACAGATGTACTGTTCGACACTTGGATTAGTAAGGGGCCAAAGGGGACGCGGTACAACCGATCGCAATCAGGATGGTTCGATGGATCAATATTTGAGGGTTGGGTAAAATCTATAATCATACCTTATTTTTAAGAGAAGTCTGGCAAAAAAATTTTAATTGGTGATAACTTGTCATCACATCTTTCTATTGACCTCAGAAAATTATGCTATGAGGAAGATATTCATTTTATATTTTTTCCCAGCAAATTCAACTCATATAACACAACCTCTCGACGTAGCTTTCTTCGGGCTGATGAAAATAGCATGGAGAAATATAATATTTCAATTGAAGAAAACGGACGGTCGCAAACAAGCTACAATTCCTAAAGGATGTTTTCCAACATTATTATCCAAATTAATAGGCACCCTCATAGATAACGCCAAAGAGAATATTTTGGCCGGTTTTAGAAAAACTGGTATAAATGCATTTGACCCTACACAAGTTTTAAATAGACTACCTGGATATGAAGATAATAAGCACCGCACTGAAGCTGTAAATGAATCTGGTCTAGATGTACTGAAAGAAATGCGTTCCGGAACCACTAACGTTGTTGAACCTAAGAGAAAGAGAAAAATAGAAGCAGAACCTGGAAAGTGTGCAAGAGTTGAAGAGAATTACCTTGAAACTGACGCTGAAAACAAAGAACCAAAGAAAAAACGAAAAAAGACTGAGAAACGAGTAAAGGATAGTAAAAACATCAAAACGAATTTAAAAATGAACCAAGTACATCTAAATGAAAAAAAGTAGGAAAAAAACGCTATTAATAGCGTTTTTTTTTCTACTCTTTATTCTTTCAACTATAGGCGCGTTTAAACGCACCTATAGTTGAAAGCGAACCAACTTTGACTAATAATTACTTAGACATAGAATCAATTCCGGTTGTAATGTTTGGAGATGCCATAAAATGTTCCTACTTTACTCCTATATGGTTAATTATGCTCCAATTCTCATAAATGTTTAATCGCTTAATATATCCAAATCGGCGCAAAATTCCGTTTCATTGTGAACGCATCCGAAAAAATTTACTAATAAGTGGCAACACAGAACTGGCAAATTTTTCATCCGCCATTTTTTTCTCATGTCAAGTGCAGCTGTAGTGTAAGACAATAAAGGTTATTTTTTTGTATCCGAAAAAGCCACTTCCATCTTGAAATCTGCATAGCGCATTAAGGTTGTTCTAATGTTGAATGTTCTAATGTTATTATGTATATAATCAGGTAAACGAATACGTAAATATTTCATTGAATTGCTGAGTTGGTCATAATCTAACCCCACTTTTTTGGCATGCTCATATTTCCTTTGGTACGATAAGGTAACTTTGCGCCTGGAGCAAAGTAAACCCAAACATAATCCCTTCAAAAGTAAACATAGTTTATTCATTGTAAGTGGTTATTAATACACTTTTTATCAAAGAAATTACTATTTATTTTCAGAAAAGATGCCAAGAAATTATAAAAAACGTATAGGGTCGAGAAATTATAAAAATTACAGCGCCGAAACTTTAAGACAATGTTTGGCTTCCATAGAAAATAAAGAAATAACGCAAAGAAAAGATAGTGAAAAGTATGGCATCCCACGCAGAACCATTATTAATCAGCTAAGACTCCTACGATCTAAAATTCCATCTCGATCTCCAGGCGCACCAACAACATTTTTAAGTGAAGAAGAAGCCTTATTTGTTGATTGCATTTTAAGGCTGAGCGAGTACGGCTTTCCTCTCACAATTTTCGATCTTCGCATTGTTATTAGAACATATTTGGAGAAAATAGGTCGGAGAGTTATAAAATTTAAAAATAATTGTCCAGGTACTGAGTGGATGACAAGTTTCCTAAAAAGACATTCAAGTTTATCACAAAGATTTGCGACCAACATTAAACGCAACAGAGCAGCCATTGACAAGGAAACCATCACTGCCTACTTAGAAAACTTGAAAGAGGTGGTTAGAGACATACCGCCCGAAAATTTATGGAATTTTGATGAGACTAATTTATCCGACGACCCTGGTCAAAAAAAAGTAATAGCGAAGCGAGGTGCAAAATACCCTGAACTTATAAGTAATACCTCCAAAAGCTCAACTTCTATCATGTTTTGTGGTAGTGCTAAGGGAGAATTATTACCGCCGTATGTTGTCTATAAATCTAAGCAACTATGGAATACATGCCAAAAGATGACAGATTTAACAATAGCCCATCAGGTTGGTTTGACATGAATATATTTAACGATTGGTTTTTTACACAAATTTTGCCAATATTAAAGAAACAAGAGGGTCCGAAAGTAATAATAGGAGATAATTTGTCATCTCACATTTCTGTAGACGTCCTAAATGCTTGTGACAAAAATAATATTAGATTTGTTTGTTTGCCACCTAATAGCACTCATCTAACTCAGCCGTTAGATGTTGCCTTTTTCCACCCAATGAAAGTAGCATGGAGAAAAATCCTGACCGAGTGGAAGGCGAGTGTTCAAGGTTGGCGAGAGCAAGTACTCCAAAAAAACAGTTTCTCAGTTCTGTTAAACCGATTCATCGATATTTTGGAACCGACGTGAGAGGTAAACCTCGTTTCAGGTTTTCGGAAATGTGGAATTTATCCGGTTGATGCTAATCCATTATTAGAGAGGTTGCCTACAACTGTTGACAAGACTGCTTTGCAAGACTCTTTTCTGCAGAGTCTTGAAGCTAAGAGGCTAGAATGGACGACAAATGGAACTACAAGAGGACGTCGCAGGAAACTACACATCACTTCTGGAAAAAGTGTAACTGAAGAATTACGCACACTTTTGGATGATAAAGAAAATGAAGAGTTGGCTCAACCGTCAACTTCAAAGCTACCATGTCGCCGCAGAGAAAGTAGCGAAAGCTCTTACGCAGAAAGTATCGACATGTCAATTCATTATTCTTCTGATCTAGGTTCTCTTGGAGATTTAGAAAATCTTGAAGCTAACACTGATACAGCGGCCGAAACTTGTAATGAAAATTGCAATTTCAAACCAATTGTGAAGGCGGTCGGGTAATATGTAGTTTTCATGTATGAGAGGGAAATTTTTCCTGGTAAAATCAAAAAATAACTAAAGAAGGGCCGTATATCTCTTCAATGAAGAGGTCACTAAAATCCTGGACGTGGCCTAAACCCGTCGATGAAATTCAATACAATTGGCAGGATATATTGGGATGTATTGAAGTCCTTAAAAAATTAGTACCCGCCGTGAAATATATTCCGTCCCTGAACTAGACCAAACTTGGGGTTTTTAAATATATCCAGTTTAAAAATGTTGAAGTTTCATAAATATTGGCCATCCTCCTTTTCATTTTTGAGAAGTTTATCTCGTTAGTTTATTTTTGACTGATTTTTGTCCAAAGACTAAACATTTGTAACCAAAGTTACTAGTTAAGATAGCAGTGCCTATTATAATTTAAGAATATAAAAAACCAATGATACAAAGTGATTTTGTAACTAAATTTAAGAATATAACATTATTTTTTTAAAAAAACACGGTTTATTTTAATTTTCACCCATTTTTCGACCATTGATACTATCAAAAAAGGTAAAGAGTAATTTCACGGGAGCAAAGTTTGAATAAGGAAAGTATAACTTTGCTCAAAAAGCTTCCACAATGGAGATTGCTTGTGAAATATACACAGGCGCAAAGTTACCCAAAGCCATGGGTAACTTTGCGCCTTGTTCGTAGTTTTATATATATTAGAAAATACTTAATTACGTTGATTTAACTTTAAAAATATGTTAGATAACATGTTGTGCTTCAAATTAATACATCTAAGTATATTTCATAACTAATAGTTTAAACAATATTCATAATTTCCTTTTTTTGGAGCAAATATTACAGCAAAGTAGGACCATTCTACGGTGATATTGTAATTGATCATACAGAAACAGTAGAAAATGGTAATAAAAACAGTTCTTATAATACGATTTCGTATAATGAATTAAAAAAAAGTGACAAAGTTAAAATATTGTTAGATATATCCACAAACTAATAAGTGGATATATCCATAACTGATTCTCAGGGCATACAATATACACAGGCGCCATACTTTAGGGGCGCCACAACACAGGGTCGAAAATTGCAAAAATTTCCAAAAAAACTTAATTTTAAAATAAAAGTTGAGAAATTAAATAGTAGTAGGTATAAAAACACACGAAATTTTATTAGTACATAAACCCTCGTTTACACGAACACGAAAAAAACAAATAGTTCGTGTTACAGGGGAGTTCGTGTAATCCGAACAATGCAAAAAATGAATTCTTGTTTCTAAACTCAATATTATGATTCATCATAGAAACATTTTTATTAATAACTTTGATATTATTATTTTATATTTACAATATTTTTTTATTATAAATTTTTTAACTTAACATTATTATTATTACATATTATCCGATTTTGACTGTTTGTTTTTATTTGTTCATAAAATACTTTTCGATATTGTTTTGGCGATAAGTTGGTCGGAGTTTTCGTGCACATTGGAAGTTGATCATTTCCAGCCCATCTGAAAATGCGTCTGAAACGTTGTTCGTCGCTGCATAGCACGTCAAGAGAGATATACTTTCGCTTAGACATCTTGAAGAACTAAAGAGTGTTCTTTATTTTTTTTGCGCCCGAAGCAAATATGGGCAACCCTCCGGAAAGCGGGGGAGGGAGGTGGGGAATGCTCATAGCATACCACGCAGCCGGCTGCGTGGTTATGTGGAGACTTTTACCCACTAAACCCCACCTTTTAGGGACTGGCTTGACGGTCTATCTAGAGATCTCTAAGCCGTATACGGACACGACTCTCCTTGGCAGAAAGGAGAGCGAAACACGATAACGATACAGAACAAAAGTTTAGGTATTTTGACAAACCTAATTCCGATCCCTGGTAATAACGGGCACTTATTCGATGCACGACTAGGGATGTAAACGATACATCAATTCTTTCAAACATCGATATATTGTTCATAAACATCGTTCTTCATGCGCTACGTTTTATGAACGGTCTTTTGGGCTTGCCGTCAAAAATTCAGAGCCACGAGGTTCCGAAATAACCATGGAGGTTAGAGAACAGGAGAATTAAAGTTTTTCAAAAGGACATTAAAAATGATGAAATATTATAAATAAAATAATAAATCAATAATAATTAATAAGTTATATTTGTAATAATTTATAATATTTATAATAATTAAAATTATAAAAAACATAATTTACAATTTATTTTAATAAATACTAATAATAATAATATTAATAAATAATCATTTCGTTCTATTCTTTTTTTTTCTTTAAAGATATAATAATATAATCATTTCAAACTAGCGCACAACAGCCCGCTTTTATTGAGACAGCTTAGCGATTGCAGCGCCTCACTTATTTTGTCCATATTTCTGGGACACTATCACAAACTAATAAGAGTACTAACGTAGACACTATTTTCTACAGCGACCGTTCTCCTGTTCTCTAACCTTCATGGATATAGCACCAATGTCACCGATGAACGCATATCTTAAAAGACATGCATCCAAACCCAAAATCTTAAAAAAAGAAGAGGTTTTTCCGTCAGTCAGCTGATTTTCTTGTTTGTATGTTGGTAGCCTTTATTTTTGAAGTGGGAAAAATATTTTTGAAAGTAAAACTTGGTAAAACCTCTAGGAAAACTTTTCATCTGTGCTCTTCATTATACTTTAGTCCAAGTAAAGTGTTATTATTAAAAATTTTCATAGTATTTTCGATTATATTTAACTTTTATCTAGTTTCTATAAAGTTTAAGACAAAAGCTATCATAATGCATTATGTTCAAAAGTATTTGGAAAAATATCAATTAATAAAAAATAATGACAAAATGAGTAATGGATTTAAAACAAACATTTTTCTTTATTGTAATTATTATAGTTTTTACTCTCAGAAGGTACGTAAAGTTAAATTCTATTATTTCGTAAAATAAAATATAATTTTTGGCTTCTAATTCTTATTTTATATTTTGTTTTAGGTTTTGATGGCCTTATATGAGAAAAATATTGATTTTGTACCATTAATAGTCGACATTACCAGAGGAGAACAGTATTCTTCTTGGTTTTTGGAATTAAACCAACGTGGTGAAATTCCAGTTCTCAAAATTCATAGTGAAATTATACCAGATTCCACTAGAATTATTGATTACTTAGAATACTATGTAGATTCGGGTTTGTGCTACGTATATTAACTGCTGACATAATTTGTTATGTGTTAATTTTGAATTTAATGATAATCGTATTATATCTTTTAGCATTAACACCACTAATAAATGTATCAAGAGATAGTAAAGTAATTCAAAACATCAATAGGTTCCGTGATCTTCTTGAGGCATTACCAGCTGGTGTTATAACAGTTGGTTCATTTTTTCACCCTCACTTGTGTGGACGACCAAAACTGCCATTTATTTACCCTGTTAGGGAAGTGTTAAAAAGTAAGTATGCAAGCGTAAAATTAAAGCTTTTTGATTATAATAAGTACTTGTTCAGAATGTGGAAAATAATAAACAGCATTCCTTAAAGAAATTTAGTATAATATATTTGATTAATTTCCTTACTAGGGTACATGTTTTGAGTGTGGGAATTAGCTGCATCTAATAATATTCTACAATGTATTCTTTCAAACAAAAGAAATCAATAGGTATTATCTTGCTCTAAAATTTCTGGTCTTACTGGATAAAAAACCTTTATTTTTATTTGCTGAATATAATAAAAATAAATCACTTTTTACATTAAATTTTTGGTAAAATGTCAACCTATTCTTAAGTTTATCTCTTTATTGGTACTAATTATCTTATCAGCCTTATGTAAATGCATTCAACAACTAAGTCTACTTGAACTGTATCTTATATGCTTTGAGCATATTACATTATTAAATGTTTTAAAAATAGCAATGAGTATGACTACTAACTAAAGAATTTAGGTATTTGTGGGAGTGTTTAACATATTTATCATCCTTAATGTAAATGTTAATATCACTCATTAAAACCATTTTTCTATAAGAGTTTGGTGTTTGAGGAATTGTTGGCATATGATAATGAATGGTAAATGCAATAAGAGCTGTGCATATGTGATTTCTTCTACTGCATCCATTAAGAGTGAACAGTCCGCCAGCTCTCCTTTTTGACTACTTGCAGCACTATATGCAGAGTGGAGGCTTTATATTGTATATGTGTTGAAACCAACATTATGCCGAGTGTATAGGTCAGTTCTCTTTAGCTTCTGACCTTCTACATTGATTGCAATTTGTTTTTGCAATAAGGTGATAGTGAAGTCCTTGTCCAGAACTGCATGTATAAGATTATTGCCCTCGGGGCTGTTTACTTGGACTTTAGTCAACTTCCCATTGCCTCATTCTTTATGGTAACTTCCGAAACATCTTTTCTTGTTGGTCGTTTTTCCTTGTTGTTTAGGTATTTTTTCGGGCTTATGTTGTGTTTATGGGCGCAGAAGTAAGATACGCCTTATAGGAACACAAGATGCATTTTGAATCTGCAGCAGATTTTTAATAATTATTTCATGCCTAGCAAGCACAGTCAGTCTGTCCTTTGGTTGGTGGAGTTCATTATAAATCAAAAGGGAGTTGATTGAAGAGATACTGATCAAATCAATTTTCTTGCACCAACGAAATTGTAGTTTTTTGCATCGGGTTATTATAACTGCAGAGTTGATTTTTTTTATAGGAAAAAGGTGACAAGTAAGCACGCAGTCCACCTGATGGTAAGTGGTTGCTGTGGCCCATAGACATCTACATCTATCCTCGTTTGTGAATCAAAATGCAGTTGCGTTGTCAGCCTTGAGGACTAAGATGGAATGCCTCTTTTCCAGTAAAAATGGTCTCTGGTTCTCTACACTCACCATGCGAAACAGAGCAGCATTAAGCTGCTATTTGATGCTGATATTCTGTGAGAGCGTGGTCCTTCCCCGGTCGAGTCGACCCATTCGTGCTACAACTATGCAATTAATATAGCTGCAGCATGGCTCTACCATGTGAAAAAAATTATAATCTAGGCAACACCGATGTAGGTTTTCATGACAGGATTTCTTCCTCGACTTTTTAATTACTAAACCGTAACATGTAGACAACAACATTACATCCCATTTGTAGTGACACTTTATGCACGCTACATTATCTTTTTGCATTGAAGCAACTTCTCTTCTAGTTAGTTTCATTTTTACTACATCCTTTAGTAATTCTTTTCGCCTCGGATGGACTGTCCCTAGAAGATCAGTTTTTCTTCTTTTCAGGTAAAATGGGCATGGGCTAAAGGTATACTAGTATTATAGTTGTCTGCTACTATTAGCCTTCCAGCTTCTAACAAATCTTTTGCTAAGCGAACGACAATGCTTCCCGACATGTCTAAAACATCAGTTCGTAAACTTTGACCACAGTACATTTCATAAGCCCATACTAGTCCATCGACTGTACACAGTTTGTATATTATTACCCCATACTTGGTAAAATGGTGGCCACGTTCATTGCGAAAACTGGCAATGTTGCAACGATTACACTTGAAGATTGTAGAACAGTTAATGAACAGAATGGTATACCACAGTTTCTTTACCACAAGTCGTCGCCAAACTTCGGAAATCTAACCCAAAGCGACGCATCATCCTACACCATGAAAACGCAAGCTCACACAGCGCTTGTCAAACGATTGAGTATTTGAAGCAGGAAAACGTAGAAATTCGTGACCATCCTCCATACAGTCCGGATCTAAGCCCTAACAATTTCTTTACATTTTTCTAAAATTAAGAAAAATCTTCGTGGTCAAAGGTTCCAGTCCGGTGAAGAAGCAGTCGACGCTTTCAAAACAGCTTTGAAAACACTTTGGGAGTGGAATAAATATTTTAATAACTGGTTCGGCTGTATGGAAAGGTGTATTAACTCGTATTGTCTGAATAGATGTCGGCACCTAAAGTGAACCATAAATTCATCAACTACTGCAATACGTAGATGTGGTACGTAGAATGTGGCAGCATCGTTTCCGACGCACCTAAGATTTTAAATGAAATTGAGAGGTTCTATGGGTAGCTGTACACATCATCATTGAAGCCACACGCAAGTGTGAGACGATCTAAAAGCAAGTCTTATCCGACACTATTACGATGATATCGCGGACGTCAGTCTGAGTGAGATTAGAATGGCTCTCCAGCACCTTAAAAACGGCAAGGCTGCAGGTGAGGATAGAATTACAGCGGAGCTTCTGAAAGCGGGTGGAACACCGGTACTTAAAGTCCTTCAGAAACTCTTCAATTCCGTCCTCCATGATGGTACTACTGGCGGCGGTGCGGTGGTCTTGTTCTTCAAGAAAGGCGACAACGTTCTCTTGAAGAACTACTGACCGATTTCCTTTCTGAGCCGCGTCTACGTGCTGTTTTCGAGAGTCATTACGAATCGTCTCGCACGCAGACGACTTCCAGCCTCCCGAACAAGCCGGTTTCCGAAAAGGCTTCAGTACCATAGACCAAATACATACCTTGCGGCAGATTGTACAAAAGACCGAAGAGTACAATCTGTCACGTTGCCTTGCGTATGTGGACTATGAGAAAGCCTTTGATTCCGTCGAAATTTGAGCGGTGTTACAGTTGCCTTCAGCGGTCTAACGTTGTCTTATCGGTATATCGAAACGCTGAAGTGTTTGTACAATAGGGCTACGATGGCTATCCGAGTACCGAACCAGAGTACGAAACCTATCCAACTGCAGAGAGGTGTAAGGCAGGGTGACGTTATATCCCCAAAACCCTTCACCGCTTCATTGGAAGACGTTTTCAAGCTACTGGACTGGAAAGGATACGGTATTAACATCAATGACGAGTACATCACTCACCTTCGGTTTGTCGACGATATAGTCCTTATGGCAGAATAGCTAGATGACCTAAGCATTATGCTAATATAATAACTTCACTAGTGTCTCCCAACGACTAGGTCTTAAGATGAACATGGACAAAACAAAGATCATGTTGAAATAATACTAGTTTTTACGGAATTTATCGCGTATATTTAACTTTTTAAATACCCGACGTTTCGAACGCTTTACAGCACTCAAGGTCACGGGCGGGACTGAGATGTTCAACGTCCATATGTCATAGTTAACCGCGGTTACCATATCAAAAAAGATCCTAATTTCAATAGGATCCTGATCCTGATCCTATAATAAATAAAATTAAATCCCAACCCAAGCATACAACTGCAAGACTTCAAGATACCATAAGTTCATACTGCATAGATCGGAACAAAAGTTAAATTTTAATCTATGGTAACCGCGGTTAACTATGACATATGGACGTTGAACATCTCAGTCCCGTCCGTGACCATGAGTGCTGTAAAGCGTTCGAAACGTCGGGTATTTAAAAAGTTAAATATACGCGATAAATTCCGTAAAAACTAGTATTATTTCAATGTGTAGTGTTCGCGTAAACAAAGATCATGGTTAATGTCCATGTCACCCCAATGTAGGTAGTTGTTGGGAGCACTAAGCTCGAAGTTGTTGACGAGTACGTTTACCTGGGACAAATAGTCCGACTAGGTAAGTCCATCTTAGACGGAGTGGTCAAACGACGGATTCAACTCGGTTGAGCAGCGTTAGGGAAATTACGACACATCTTCTCGTCAGGTATACCTCATAACCTGAATAAACCAGTGCATGTTGCCAGTAATAACCTACGGAACCGAGACGTGGTTCTTCACTGCTGGCCGTATAAGGACGCTCAAAGTCGCTCAGCGAGCTATGGAGAGGGCTATGCTCGAGGTTTCTCTGCCTGATAAACTTAGAAATGAGGATATCCGCAGTAGAACTAGAGTGACCGACATAGCCCAACGGATTAGTAAGCTGAAGTGGCAATGGGCCGGCCATATAGCTCGAAGAACCGACAACTGTTGGGGAAAAAAGGTTCTCGAGTGGCAGCCTCGTACCGGTAGGCGAAGTGTAGGGTGACCCCCCACTAGATGGAGTGACGACCTCAGGCCTCAGGCTCAGGAACGTGCTTTGTGGCATACATTGGGGGAGGCCTATGTTCAGCAGTGGACTTGTGAAGGGCTGTAATGATGATGATGATGCTATACGTAAATTTGCCTCCAATTTCTTCTGATTAGCTTCAAAAGAGGACTTATTTTGTATAGCCTGTCATTCTGTAGGCGAGGTGCGTCATTATTTGCAAAACACCAACATGAGTATCAAATTGAAACGTTTGTATAACTCATGCTAATTTCATGTAAGAGATGATGACTGTACTATACAGTTTGTGGCTCTCTTCCAAAATTATCCGATGGTTGGAAACGGTGGAAAGCCCAGTTAGCTACAAAATTCCTAAAAAGTGAGCATTTCATTTTCCGAGACATCTTTTCAATGCTTCATACGTCTAAATTCTTATGAGTTTAAATTTCAAGACCATTTCAAACGATTACCATAAAGATTTGTTTTCTCGACCATTA